GTGGGGACACAGGGAACTTATTCGCAGGAAAGGTAACTGGTCCTGCTTTTCTTTCTTTCCTCTCCCTCCCATCCCTTCCTTCTTTCTTTTTTTCTTACATTATCTTTACTGTCTGTAGGATTGGTAGTGATGTCCTTTATTTCATTTCTTGTATCCATTAATTTGTGTCAATACTCTTTATATTCCAATTTATCTAGTTCAGATGTTTATCCATTTTACTGCTCCCTCTCTCTCTCTCTCTTTTTTGGAGACAGAGCCTATTCTGTCACCCTGGTAGAGTGCCATGGCACCCTGGCTCACAGCAACCTCAAACTCCTGGGTTCAAGAAATCCTCTTATCTCAGTATCCCAAGTAGCTGGGACTCCAGGTACCTGCCCACCATACCCAGCTAATTTTTCTATTTTTAGTTTAGACAGAATCTCGCTCTTGTTCAAGCTGGTCTCAAACTCCGGAGCTCAAGGGATCCTCCCTCCTTGGCCTCCCAGAGTGGCAGCATTACAGGCATGAGCCACCGCGCCCAGCCCATTGTATTGATCTCTTTAAATAAACTTTGCTCTTTTTCCTTTTTAGTTAATACTGAGTAATTTCCTTATTAATCAATCAATACTTCATTGATTTCTGCTCTAAAATTCATTATTACCTTATTTCTGCTTGCTTTGATTTTAATTTGCTCTTCTTTTTGTAACATTTGGGGGCAAGCTTAGGTCACTGACTTGTGACCCACCTTCCAATATAATCAATTTTGTCATAAATTTCCCTCAAAGCACTGCTTCAGCTTTAGTGGTACCACCAAAATGTTGATAAAGAGTAATTTAATTTTCAGTTGGCTTAAAATGCTTTCCAATTGATTTGTTATTTTTTTATCCATAGGTTATTTAGAAATGTGTGATTTACAAATATTTGGGTCTATTTTGCTTTGGATGTTGATCTCTGGTTTAATTTTTTGTCATCCAAGTTTACTGTGTGACTGCAATTCTTTTACATTTATTTACACTTATCTGATGCCCTCGGACAGTCTACAGTGAAATGAATGTGGATTCTGCTTTGTAGCAGCGTCCTATCGATCCAATCAGAGCGAGGCAGGTGATGGTGCTGTTACGGCTCCTGCCTCCTTACTGATTTTGTCTGCCTGTTCTTTCAGGGACTAACAGAAGAGGATGCACTCTCCAACACAATTACAGATTTGTCTGTTTCTCTTTCCATTCTATCAGCTTTTGCTTCAAGTTTCTGTTGTCAGGTACTGACAGGTTTGGGAGCATCAGGCCTCCTGATAAATTGACCTATTCTCCATTATGAAATATCCCTGATTATTTCTGGTAATAATCCTTGTTCTAAAATGCATAGTGTTTCTCTGTAACACACTTTTATTTGCAGTCCTACCTCTAACTCCTAATTCCAGGCACGGCTTCCTTGCTGCGTCTCATCATCTTTTCTGCAACTCTCCTCACCTCTTTTTTTTTTTTTCTTCAAACCCTCTTATAGCAAAGCCAAGTACTTTTACACAGAAGATGAAATTCAAATGGACTTTGTAGACTGTGTTTTTTAGGTCATGTATTCTCTGCCCCTCCCTCCTGGTCTTCTTATTCCTGCCAGGCCTGCTTCTGGAGAGGATGGAACTATCTGACCCCCTGACCTCTGTCCTGGGCACATAACTTGCTTCCCTCAATGGATGTGTGCAAAGGTGAAGGCTTTGAGGGCCCTGCCTGGTTTTGCCTGTTGTTTTCCCTGGGCCACAAGGATAGCAGCAACCCAGGTACAATCTACTCTCTCCTGTGCATCTTGGAATGAAGACAGCAGGGAGCAGGGCAGAGCTGAGCTAACTGGCAAAAACACAAATGTAAGCCAGGAATAAGCCTTTGTAAGAACTAAGATTGGGAGGTCCTTTGTTACTACAGGGTAATTTAGCTACTCTGACTGATGCCATTGGTCACATTTCTCTTTCCTTATTGCCTATAAGCATTCCCTTAAAACCCCCCAAAGAAACAAACAAAAACCTCAAAGTCCTATTTAGATCCAAGGCAATGATTACCCTAATGATACCACATCAATATGTAAATGCTCCCCCCATTTGCCCAAAGCACTCCTTACATCAGTGAAATAACTTCTTAAGAATTCCTCGTTCACGGCAACAGCAGCCGCTTGGGCTCCAGTCACGGTCATGCCTCTGGAAGCCCCTGAGACTCTCGTGGTCCGCATGGTTTCAGCACCCAGGCCAGCTCCAGCGGCCTCTGTCACCTGGGTAGCTCCCCCAGAAAGGAGGCTTCTGTGCTCTTTCCATTTTCTCCCTGCCTCATACATCTCGTGATGCCCTTTGGTGAAGGACGCAGAGCTGCTTCCTTTCACAGTGGCTTCCTTGATTATACCTCCAACTCCGTTTCTTACTGCGAGACCGTCCACTTGATCCACTCCCAGAAGCGGCAGCACCACCTGCCAGAGCAAAAGCAGTTGAGAACTGAGTCAGAAGGATGGAGGGTTGGTATGGTCAGCAGAAGAACCTGAGCTAAGTGGGCACAGATGGGGACAAGCCAGTTCCACGGAGGCCAATTAGTAAAAATACAGTAGGTTGAATAACTTCGCTCTGTTGCTGAAGCTGGAGTGTAGTGGTGCAGCTCACCGTAATCTCACACGCCTAGGCTCAAACAATCTTGCTGCCTTAGCTTCTTGGGTAGCTGGGACTATAGATATGTGCCACCGCACCAGGCTAGGTTGTTTTTTTTTTTTTTTTGCTATTTTTTGAAGAGGCAGGGTCTTGCTACATAGCCCACACTGGTCTTGAACTCCTACCCTCAAAGGATCCTCCTGCCTCAGCCTCCCTGGCCACTGGGATTACAAGTGTGAGCCACTTCTCCTGGCTGCCTGAATAACTTCTATGTAGGTCACAACAAAAGTTGTGAGACAGACTGTGTTATGATGCATTATTTCATTTCCAAGATACACAGTCAATAGTGTTCTTTCTGATTCACTCGTGCAAGTGTCAGCTTGCTGGGCTTATCAATGGTGCTGGGAGGGCTTCATTTATTTCTGTCTGCATGGATTTTATGTTTCTTAGTTTTTGTGTATCTAAAAACCTTTTTCTGACCCATGTATTTGTGTCTTATGAAGATCTCCCTTCTTCTACCTTCCTGTATTAAAGACGATTAAGACCCAAACAGGAAACGAAGCCCAAACATTCATATATAGCCTCACATCATTTATGCTACTGGCACCAGTGACATTTAAACCTTCCTCTAGAGTAGTGATTTTCAACTGGGGTGCCAAAGCATACTGGGCTGCTGTGAGAGGATCTTAGGTGTACCACAAAAACTTTTAAAGATCATTAATTAAATTATTATTATTATTATTTTTTTTTGAGACAGAGCCTCAAGCTGTCCCCCTGGGTAGAGTGCCATGGCATCACAGCTCACAGTAACCTCCAACTCCTGGGCTCAAGTGAGT